ACCCACCACCTTTGGCATATGGGGCTAGCGCCCTACTCCTTTGAGCCACAGGTGCCACCCTATACATAATTTTTTTAATGTATTATATTTGTAAATTGTACTTATGTTGAAATTAAAAATATATATATTACAATACTATTTTTGCGTTCTACAAAAATTTTTGTTGCTCCATATAGACCAAATTTTTAATTAAGAACCCCCCCACCCCCTGGTCAATGGTGTCCACTTTACCAGTGTTAAAATCTGGTCACCTTACTGTAGTCCCAGCTACTTGGGACACTAAGGCAAGAGAATTGCTTAAGCCCAAGAGTTTGAGGTTGCTGTGAGCTGTAATATCACAGCACTCTAACCAGGACAACTCTGTCTCAAAAAAATAATTAAACAAATAAAAAAGGCTTGGCGTCTGTGGCTCAAGTGGCTGAGGCACCAGCCACATACACCTAAGGTGGTGGATTTGAATCCAGCCCTAGCCTGCCAAACAACGATGGCTGCAACCAAAAAATAGCCAGGCATTGTGGTGGGCGCCTGTGGTCCCAGCTACTTCAGAGGCGGAGGCAGGAGACTCACTTGAGCCCAAGAGTTGGAGGTTGCTGTTAGCTGTGATGCCACGGCACTCTACCCAGGGGGACAGCTTGAGGCTCTGTCTCAAAAAAATAAAAATAAATAAAAATAAATAAACAAAAAGAGCATTCAGGTTTCTGTGTGGAGAATGGATTGAGAGGGTAAGGATTTCTTTAGAGGTGAAGTCTCACTCTGTCCCAGATTGGAATGTGATCTTAGCTCACTACAACTCCTTGGCTCAACCAATCCTCCCACCTTAGTCTCCCAAGTAGCTGGGACTACAAGTGCACACCACTACACCCAGCTAATTTTTCTTTTTTTGAGAGACAAGGTCTCCCTATGTGCCCTGGCTGGTCTTGAATTCCCTGCCTCAAGTGATCCTCTGCCTCAGCCTCCCCAAGTTCTGGGATTACAAGTGTGAGCCACTGTACCTGGCCTTGAGGGGTAATTTTAAGCAAAATATAAAACAACTAAAGATGGCCCTGTAGATTGACTCCTAAGCTATTTATACTTTCACAGGAGACAGAGATCTGTGAGTCCAGAAGCCCACTAGCAGCAAACTCAAATTTTTACACATCCAATAATTTTAAAAATAGCCCACACAGGCAGATTTACAGCCATTGAGGGCTTGCCGGCCTTGTATATTCCATGAGTTGTTAATAAGAAAAAAAAATCTGCTAAATAATTCAAGGGGGTTTATTCTGAGCCAAATGTGAGTGACCATGGCCAAGAGATCCATAAGCCCAAGAAGCCTTGAGCAAATGGTCCCGAGACAGTCGGGTTACAGTTGGATTTATACATTTTAGGGAGACAATAATTGCAGGTAAGATCATAAATCAGTATAGTGAGTGTACATTGATTCAGCCAGAAAAGAAGGGGCTTATAAGTGATAGGTGAGTTCGGAGATTCTTTGATTTGTAATTGGCTAAAGAAAGAAAGCTTTGTTTTCAGACTTGGAGTCAGTAGAAAGGAAGGCTTAAGATAAGGGAGTCTGCTCTCGGTCCCCAGATGCTATGCCAGAGTCAGGTTGGAATGGTAGCCACATTATATTGGGTTAACTTAAAAATAAATAAATGAATGAATTTTTACAAACCTGTTTAATGAGATTTTAGGGTTTATAAGACCTGACATAACCTTTGCCTTGCACGGCCTTGGGTCCTATTTGTAATATAGTATCTTATTGCTGCAAAGAGTCTGTTTGGTCAGCCTTACAATCTCTATTTCAGCACTATCACTGATGGGTTTTAACTTCAAAAGGCAGAGAATATAATCACCTGTGTCCAACCTCCCTTCCCACCAGTTTTAAGGTTCTTCTGGTGTCCCTTGGCCAAAATGGGGTTGTTCAGTGGGAAGGGTTAGTTCACACATCTAAGCCTATTTTTTTTTTTTTTTGAGAGAGAGAGAGAAAGTCTCACTATGTCGCCCTTGGTAGAGTACCATGGTGTCACAGCTCACAGCAACCTCAAA